TTAGTGAAGGTCGCTTGGGGAGGACCGGCTGGTGGAAATGTTACTTGGGAGCTTGAGAGTCGGATGAAAGAGTCTTATCCAGAGCTGTTTGAATCAGGTAACATTTTCGAGGACGAAAATTCCTAAAGTGGGGGAGAGTTGTAACAGCCCAAATTTCATTAAATAATTAATTGTAGTAATTAATTGATTTAGTGGGATTTTTATTAATGTTAGAAATTAATTTTTATTAATTGGAATTAATAGAGAATTGAAAGGAAATTGGAAGGAAAGAAAATAAAAGGGATATATAAGAGAGAAAGAAAAGAAAAGAAAGTTAGAAAACATTTGGAAAGAAAAAGGAAAGAAGAAGAAAGGAGAGAAAGAGAAGAGAAGAAGAGGAAAAGTGGAAATCATCAAGAACCAACATCAAAGCTCTGATTAATCGAGGTAAGGGTGAGAAATGTTTCTATTTGATCATTGTATGATGTTATGTATGTTGGGTTGGGGTTTTGGTAGAGTTTTCATCACTTTCCATTTAGGGCAAAATGTTGGATAATCGGTAGATTGATGATTTAATCGGTTGAAACTGAGCAATAATGCCGTAGAATAGTCGGGTAACATGTGTTGATGCTGTTTGTACTGGTTTTGTTGTGTGAGAAGTTGGATGATGGTGGATTGTGGAGGAGGAACAGAATAGAGTTCTGTTCTGCGCAGGTTCGCTGGCTCTCGCCAGGCGAGCGAAGGCGAAGCCTAGCGAATGTTGGCGAATAATTATATTTAAGTCCCAGTGGACTTCGCTGGTGGGTTCGCCAGGCGAAGTTGGGTAGCGAAGGTTCGCCCAGCGAAGGTGCTGGCGAATGGTGGCGAATGAAGTCAGTAGCTACTGATTTGGGCTCGCTGGGAAATCTCGCCAGGCGAAGCCTAGCGAGCGTTCGCTGAGGGAGTTCGCCAGGCGAAGGTTCGCTGCGAGGGTTCGCCAGGCGAATGTGGGCGAGTTTGACAGCATTTTTCTTTTGCTGTGTTGATCATGTGGAGATGGTTTGGTTGTTCCACATAGATGGATACCTTATGATATGAATATAGATACGATCTATTGTGATAACATGTGCTGTGGGTAGCCTTCGGGCGTGAATCCTAGAGTTGTGATATGAAGGATTAATTGTAATCGGTTAAAATAGATGTGAACATAATAAGTGATTATGTGTGTATTATTTAATGAATTTGCGAATGCTTAATGGGTACACAACTATGTGATGAGTATGCATGAGAACATTGTAGATATGTGTGCATGACTTATAATTGTATAAATGGTATTGTGATGTGAATACCTTGATTGTGTGATATATGTTGTATGTACAATCATTGTGTAATTCTTGAAGTGATGAATTATGTAAATGCATGAGATTAAGATGTCGGTCTTAAGTGCATTTGTTGTGGTTGATTGTACATGCATCATTTAGTCAAGAGGCAATGTTTGTTAGTTTCGTGGAAACTAGTGGCTTGTCCCAAACCTAGAAGTGTGGGTTTGAAGGCTTAGAGGACGGGCCTTTGTGGTTATCGGTCTAGAAGTGTGGACCCGGTTTAATGTAAAAACCGAAAAAAGATAACGGGTTATCGGTCTAGAAGTGTGGACCCGGTTTAATGTAAAAACCGAAAAAAGATAACGAGAGTCGGTACCGCATTGCATGAGTTGCATTGAGTCGTTGAGTCACATTGATATATGACATATGCATGAAGTGATGCTTATGTGTGAATGATGAGATTGTGGAAATTGTAAGGGTATACATAATGTGGGAATGCTTTGTGAATATCCATGTTTATCTATATATAAGTGTGGTAAATATATATGACTAAGAGAATGAAGTGTGGTGAGAAATGTGAATATGCGTTACATGATTACCTATATATGTATAATCTCATGCTTTGATTATTATGGTTATATTTCTCACCCTTCTGCTGTTTTATAATGCTCTATGAGGCATTGCAGATTAGGATGCTGGAGTCCTTTTGTGAAGATTAGTCTTCATTCTTTTGAGTCGGCTGCTCTGATATGTAACACCGGGTAGTTAGACTAGTATAGTCATTCTTTTGTGATACATTGCGATGTATCAGCTTATGTGGTTTTGTAAATCTAACTGAATATGATATATTAATTTGGATAGCTTATGTGTACGTGGATTAATATTTTGAAAACGATCAAATGATTTTATCTTCCGCTTAAATTGAAAATGTTACATATTTTATGGAGCAAGTGTTTTATTGGTAAAGTTGTGACATTCTTCTTTTATACCTTATTCTAAAACTTTTACTCTGATGAATTTGTATATGCTTAATTGTTTTATATGCATTTATTTGGGGTATAGAAGGGGGTGTTACACTGTACGGCCAGACCTAGACTAAAGAGGATAAAAATCAGAATTCGGGTCATAACCCAACTGGGTCGAAAATATAACCCAGACCCAAAACATGACCCAAAACTAAAACAAATTCCTAATGCTGTAACTTCAGACGAAATTCTGGAATTTTGGGCTCCGAATCTGACTTCGACTCCAACACGTAAGTCGTAGCTCTCTCTCTTAGCTTTCCGACAATTTTTAGAACGCCTTAAACGGACTCCCGAAACTCCAGTTATAATTTTTCTCGCGAAAGCTGCTAAAGCTGAAAAATAAATACGAAAAACAATTAAATGCAAAAATAAAATAAAATATAAAAATACGTTAAAACATAAAAATAAATAAATAAAATCAAAGAAATGTTTGAGTACAAACATGGAAGAACGTGCATCAAAATGCACTGATCAACGACCTCGTCCTCTTTGACTCTTGTAACTCACATAGTTTGCTTCCTTTGCATTGAGTTGTAGTAGTTGTTCCATAGTCTCCTTTTGTTTAGTTTTTCTCTTTTGTTTTTCTTCGTATGCTTGTAAGGAACCCATAAGTTGCTCAATAGTCATGGTGTTTAAATCCTTATTTTCTTCAATGTTGGTAACAATGAAGTCAAAACTTGGATTTAAAGTGCGAAGTATTTTTTCCATGACTTTCACTTCATCAACATCTTCACCATTTCTTTTAAGTTGATTGACTACGGATAATACTCGAGAAAAATAATCAGAAATTGACTCAGACTTTTCCATAAATAAACGTTCAAACTCACCTCTAAGAGTTTGAAGACGAATCTTTTTCACCTGCTCCACTCCTTTGTTGCAAGTTTGAAGCTTGTCCCATGCTTCTTTGGCCGTCGTTGCATTGGAGATCTTCTCAAATGTATCTTCATCCACCGATTGATAAATGAGGAAGAGAGCTTTCTTGTCTCTCTTTCTTGACTCCTTTAATGTCTCCTTTACACCTTGGCTTAAAGAGGCTTCATCTTGCTCCTTGAAGCCTTTCTCAACAATATCACACACATCTTGAGCTCCTAGTAGCGCCTTCATCTTGATACTCCAATTGTCATAGTTGTTCTTTGTGAGTATCGGCATTTGAAAAGGAAAACCTCCATTCGCCATCTTTTGAGGGCCTTCAAGCTCTGATACCACTTTGTTGGAAATAAGACATTTTGTATTTAGGAAAAGTGTGTGGGAATATTAGAGGTTTAAAGAGAAACTTGATAGGTAGAAGAATTATTTATGGAAGAGAGAACTTGGTATTTTTCTTGATACAAAAGTGTAGAATTACATCTCTATTTATAGTACTCTAAGGAGAACTCTAGACACACTAATTCTAGAGTTCTCAACTCTAGGAATTCCAAGAGCATTCTAGAGAATATTACAACCCTAAGAAATATTTAGACACTCCAAACATTACAAGAGTTTTCTAGAACCATTAATTAAAATTACCCAAGTCCAAAATAACTAAGCCCAAAAATTCAAATAATATATTTAGGCCCATATCAAGTTTAATATTTCAACAAACCAATCACCACTATGTATCCGGGTCACATCAAACTGTAAATTTCAAATTAATTATATTACATGATAGATTGATGAATTTTTATTGAATGACAATATACAATTATTTTATACTGACAGTGCATATCCATTAAACTCCAAATGATATTTTTAAAATTTTAATTAGCTTCTGAAAAATTGGGAGGAAAGAGAGATTTTTTTGAGATAAAATAGACTTTTGAACGGTATAAACTTTTTAATCAAGACCAAAAATATACTAAATCATAGACCTTGACTATATATTTGAAAATATTTCACCCTTAGTGTTAATTGACATCTCTATTCCGACTTATAATATTAGGAAGGCCTGCCTTTGTCATAACATAATCATAGAAGAATTGAAGTCAAAGTTGTTGAGATGAGTATTGACCAAAGATAATGCATTTCAAGTCCAAGTTGAGCAAGGTCTCAAATTTGTTGTCAAAGTTGAACTTGACAGCCAGTCATAATGGAATGGAATGGATGCTGAGATCAGATCATGCATGCTTGCAACTTGTAAATTAAATAGTATTATATTTAGTACCTCTTTTTCAAAAGAATAAAAAACCTTATCTTTTGTTCTTACATGTATTATTGTTTTAAAAAAACAATTATTATATGCAGGTTGGGACAAGATCCATTTGAGACGGATTTTAGGTTCAATTATGAGACGGATTTTAGGTTCAATTATGGCTTGGGGTAAAGCCGGAAATACCGGATTTTAGGTTCAATTATGATTTGAAGTAAAATGGAGACACCAGAACCTATTTTAGACGAATTTTGAGTCAGTCGGACATCGTTATAAAATATTGTATTTTTATTATTTGAATCTTGTATCGATTTTTTTTTTGAAGAAGAAGGTTGTTCTTCTAACCATCTTCTAGAATTATTAATAATAAGGACTAAACCAAATAGGAAATCCTCCTTCCCCCTAAAAATATTTTGCTAATTAAAAAAACCCTATCTAACACAACAAACATATGATGCTGTCATTCGTAAAACATCATGAAACTAAAATTTAAAAAAAAGCTTAACCAACTTGACCATGGCTAAGAAATAAAATTCTATATGCTCAGCTCCAAAGACTCACTATTTCTACTTAAGATTGTTGTTTCTTGTAAATACTCAAATCCGCATGAGTCTCGTTGTAGCGCTGGCTCAGGTAGTCGCGGCATAAGATAGGAGGAAATCTACAAAAACGAAAGAAGAAAATGTAAGATACTTTAAGATTATACCACGCGAATCATATTTCCGGTCGCAACTTTAACTTTAAGGTGACTTCGATTTTTTGATTTTTCCAAATCATATGTAGTTGGTTACAATTACATTCACATTGACCATGCTTGTTAAATTAACTTACTTGGGAGGGTTAGTTTCGGATTTGCAGGTTGGCAAGCATTCCACTAAGCAATCATGGCTAGGCTCCAAAAAGTATGCAATCTGTAAAACAAGACAATATCGCGATATTCTAATGATTAATATGAATATTTTAGTAGAATTATAACGCAAGCAAAGTGAAGATGAAAATCAATACGAAACAATGCGAGCACTAGTTTTACAATGAAGTTAAGATTCGAAAAGGGAAGATGAAAACGTTGAATTAAAAGGGAAGATATTTTGGCGCATACAGAATATCTCTCTTGACCGTTTCCTAGAACTCGGTGCAATGTGGATCTGCAAATAAATGCAAAATAAATTATGCAGCATAAACAAAAGTTATTGACCGGTCTTATAAATTCCTTCAAAAACAGAAATATGTCTCTGCCTCAATCACGCTCGAAAATACCACAAGGTGAGAAAGATTTCTTACTTGAAAACACCATTGCTCCAGCGCTCAAGCATGTCACCGAGATTTACTATGAATGCCCTGCAACAAAAGCAACCGGTCAAATATTGTAAGTGCTTCTAGCGGCGTACTTCAATTCTTAGCAGCTCACAATTTGGTTTAATACATGATATATTGCAGCTCACAAAACTTTTAAATTTTAGAAATATATTAGCTTATTCAGAAAATTGTAATTTTGATTGAATTGTTTGTTTGTTCCTATGGTGTGATGTGATGCTGTCGAACCGAAAAATGACATGTCTTGAAAGCCAATAAAAGCCCCAGTGACAGAAGGACTAACCCTTTCAATGGTGACACATCCTCCCATTTCTGAGGTTTAGCATCCCTATCCTTGCATATCTGCAACGAAAGGCATTAACGTTCATGACTACATAGCACTGACATTTCAGATTGAAGACATTTCAAGTGTCCCACACGTGTTACTGTCTTGTACCAACATGACATAGACACACATGGTTACATTCAATTATTTCTATTTTCTTAGATTATTATCAGTGTCAACGTATCAAGTGTCATGTGTGGTGTCTGTATTAGTGCTTGATAGGTTCTTAATTACATCAGATATTTGAAATTTCAAATGAAATATCAGCTGGATCCTTACTTGAAGACCTGCGACATCATCGGTTGCTAACAGTGTAAGTAAACCAAAGTCAGTATGAGCTCCAGCTCCGAATAGTCCTTTTGTCGGATCCGAGATTTGACCTTCACAGAATATAAATGAATGAACGGTATTATGTAATTTATCCTTCTAATTGTACAAGCTACAGCAAAGACACCAAGAACACGGGCTCAGTACCTCCATAGTGCAGCAAACGCAGAGTTGCAATTGGCTCTCCAAGCATTTCTGGTTTTTCGAAAAAATCGACATCCAAATCAAGTGCAAGGGCTATTATCTTTCCAACTGCTTTCCCGACTTCTCTGGATTCCCCAAATAAATAAAACAGTTAACCGGGAAAAAAATGACAAATATGTGAAAAGGACCTTTTCCTTTAGACTAATAAATGTTAATCATAACATACTACTTCACAAGTTTCGGAGACGTAAACAACCATGATGTCATGGCCCTAAGCATGTCTGTCGACCATTTTTAAAACCCTAGCAATAATACTTACAAGAAAGTAATGAGGAAAAAAAGTTTGAACCCCCTCCCATAGTGAACAATAAGACATGTAAGTTTTCTTATAAAATACAATAAGTTGGTAACAAACTTATCATTAGCTAGTTCCAATTTGAACCACAAATGATCCAAACATTCGAGATTTTGCACCCTATGAAGCACTGACACGAAAATTGAATATAATCATATGTGACCAGACAAGTTTTCAATTTGAAGTATTCGTGCTAAATATTGCATCTTAATCTTATGACATAAAAATAACATCATTGACACTTACAATGCCTCTCTATGAAACTTTTCCATAGTTTCCCTCCATCCTGGAAGAACATCTACACAGAAAAAAAATACATTAAACCAAACAAAAAAAATCCATGAAAATGGAATTAGATAAAAATTAGATTTTTCTTCTCAAAAACCAAAAATTGATTCATTTTACCTGGCTCAGGCCATTTATTAGTCCCATAAAAGGGTTTACTTGATTCTGCGTCATCTTCATCTACTTCAACTCCAATATAAAAACCCTCTTTGTAATCCCCTACTTGAGAAACAGTGAAAAATATTTCAAAAAAATGAAATTTTTATCTATAACATACACATGCAACAAAATGAAAAGGGTGAATAAAGTATAGTACCATGAATTTGATGTTCAGGATCAAGTGTTTCATCAAGAACAGGAGTGTATCCTCTGTGTTTTTCATTTCTCAAAATCTTCATCTTTTCATTTAAAGGAAGAGAAAAAAATTTCTTGCTTTGTGCAAAAACCTCGTCCATGAATTCCTCGGTCATTCCATGGTTTACAACATAGAAAAAACCAGAATCCAAACATGCCTTTAAAAATCCCCCCAAAAAAAAACATGGAAAAACTAAGGTTAATGTTTGAAAAAAAAAAACAGAGTAAATAAAATTGACCCACGTTGTTTTGTGATAGAAAGAATTTAAACAATTTACAAACCTGTTTGAGTAAATGAACGGATTGGTTTATGTTGGGATTTGAGAGGTCGATGAGATTAAGAATGGAGAATTTTGTTGGGTTAGAAACAGGGGATAGTGTTTCGTTGCTCTGTTTTCCCATGTTTTGAAAATGGAAGAAGAAAGAAGAATAATGAAGAAGAAAATGACCTCACAAAAACCACTTTGAAAGAACAAACACAATATAATGAATGGTTTTCTTAACTACTACCACAACATTCGCCACCATTCACATTTGCAGTAATTTATTTCATTTTTTCTTAACATGCATGAAAAAATTAAATATTCTTTTATCTATAAATAAATAAATTTTATTAGAGTATATATTTTTTTATAAAAGAGAGGGCCGAGGCCAAGAAAAAAACAAAAAATAATAATTTAGGGGTAGTTAGTCCATAACGTGTACAGCTAGCTAATATGATTAAGAGTAGAATAAAAAAAGGTATTATTTAAATCAACATACACCTAAAATTTGCTAAAAATATTATCATATTGATTATTGACGAATATTATTGACGAATGAATCACATTCACCTCCCAATAAAAATATAATAAATGAGGAATATTATTGACGAAAGATTGACCAACAACATTGCTAGAGGCTCTGCTCTTAATAACATTCACAATCGTTATAGGATTAACATTCAAATCCACATCATCCAATCGTAACCTCAAGGCATAGCTTAAACCTTCTCAAACACCTAGAATCTCTTACAATTCTTCTGCACCCCAAACTATATTATTATTTTTACAGGCATCATTCGTATTTAATTTAAACATTTATTTTAGTTTAATACATGTTAATAATATTAATTAATAAATAACCTATTGAATCCAAAACAAAATGAGAAATATAAAATCAACAATGATATAAAATTTGTTTTTAAATATTAATTAATAATATTACTAATTAATATATAGACAGTTGAGGTGAAACAATGATAGACATATTTTTTTTTAAGTATCTTTCATGCGATAATTAGTGACTTATCAAGTCAAATATTTAAGGTTATTTTATTGTGATAATTTTATTAGATCATAAGAAGGAAGATTGAGAGTCTCTTTGGTAAGACACAACAAAAAGTTTTTAACTTTTAGCTTATAGTTTTTCATCTCATTTGAAGTAGTTTTTGAGTTTATAGTTTTTAATTTGATTTTTTCTTGTATTTGTATCTTCACTATTTTATCAAAAATTTATTTTTATTATTTATATTATTATAATTTAAATTAAAATAATTATGTTTTAGTTGAGGGAATAGGAAATGTTAGTCATTATTTCTACCGAATAAAATACACGATGTAACACATCTTCCATTTTGTTATTAGTGATATATTTTGACTCATTAGATTGAATTTTTTTATTACTTTTAAATTATTATTATTAATGTATAATTTTTATAAATATGATAATGAATATATTTGTTTATTATTAAGCATATCATGGATTTTAATAGAGAAAAAAAGAAAAGGAAGTATGCATTTTATTAAAATATAAGATCAAATTATAATATTATTATTTTATATATTTAAATTTTATTACAAAATTTATATATAAGTGTTTAATATATTTTTGTGTTTTGTTTAATTTTATATTTATATTTAAAATATTTTACAATTTGATTGTTAATATATTTATTTTTATTTAATAAATAGGATCAGTAGTTTTTTTAATTAAGAATGTTCTTTTATGTCATTTTAAATTTATCAGCTTGTGTAACCACTAATTTACCAAACACTCAAATTAGCTTATAAGCTAAAAATCATCAACTATAAGCTATCAATCATCAGATATAAGCTATCAGCTACTAGTCATCATCTACCAGCTACCAGCTAGCTTATCATCTATCAGCTAGTTTTACCAAACAGAGCCTAAGGAATTCAATATGCAAGCCCATTGCCTCAACTTTGGGTACTCGCCTAATGCGGAAAAGGAAGATCGCTCGATATGCCTTGAGGTCGCCCTGATCTGGGTGACATATCGCCTATTTGAGTTTGGGCCGCCTAGGTTAACTCTCATTGCCCATTTACTTAGTGAGTGTGGGAGAAGTTGTGTCCCTATAGATGTTTACTAAAGGAAATCGTCCCCTACGATTTAAGGAAGGGTGAAACCCACTCTTTCCATATTTCTTGGTCATGGAGCCGAAATAGGTCATTCTTTGGTTCTTTGACTCATGTCCAAGGGGTCTCTATAAATATCCCAACCTTCGGATTGAGAAATGATTTAATCATTCACCTATTGAAACACATATGCATTGCTTCTCACCACTTTGTGTGAGCTAGCTCTAAATACTGTCAAAACACCATATGAACCACATACAACCTTAAAAACACAGAACTACCATAATTGTACTTTATAGTAAGCACAATTGGGGCCTATCTTAGGGCGCTGGTTGTAACACACTACTCTACCCATTTTACGAAAATAATTGCGTAACTAATCAAAGTTACACACGTAGGATGCCACATTACAAAACCTCATTATGAAGTATCAACTCACTTCATCTCTTATTCATCAATAAAAACAAATACTTTTATTAAACAGCGGAAATCAACTCAATGGTTTAGCAATAAAGCTCGAATTACATCAATCTCCACATAATATGTGGTTCAACAACAATCAAAACAAAGCATGATACGTAACAAATAGCGAATAACAAATAACATGAAAGACATGACGAAATTCTCATCTTTCCTGTGTTACGTATCAGAGCGACTCCTAAGACTCGATCAAATAGCAACACCAAGCACTACTCATGTACCTGATCATCTGTACTCCCCAAGGAGCACAGGCACAACAAACAGAAAAGAGGTGAAAACTACATTCAATAAATACACGGTGAAAAATACATGCTAAGAGTAGTTATCACACAATTATCAGGTACATGCAAGTGCCACATCATCATTTGGCATAAACAGTCCATATTCAATTATATATATGCAATGTGACTCACTGACACGACATGATGCATGCGGTACCATCACAATCACATACGGTTCACCTTAAAATCTGATTCCCGTCATAATTCGAATAAGTCGTATACGTTACTCTGAACTACAAATTATCTCCACACGACTCCCATATAGAGTCCGGACAAGACTAGGCATTCATCATGGATTCCCACATAGTTCGTCTCCACATAACATGATATGAATGCATGACACAAAATTATGTACAATGTAATTATTATTCAAGCATAATTTCACGATCTTCAATGATCATACACAAGCCACATGCTCACCATAATTCTTTCTGGAATTATCACCATCGCTCAAGATTGTCCACACAACGACAATCTTGGCGCACAAGCATCAAACACGTCTCATAAAGACAATCACATAAATATCCATATTTTACCATATTCTCTATCATTACTAGTTCTCTTATTTCCAATTATGTCACATGAGTCTTACGGATCAAGATAAATTGCATCGCATGCGAAATCGGGACAAAAATCGCGAAAACGGGGAAATTGCACTACAACCCTGCCCATACGCGTAATGTCCTAATTGCCCAGGCCCAAACGCGTACCGCCCTTGGCCATACGCGTAATGCCCCAAATTGCTCAGTCCCATACGTGTATTGTGTAACACCCTTATTCTACCCCACAGATATTACGGTAAAATAACATGGATTTCAGAGTAAAATATTAACTTTCATTAAAAAGCCACAAAGGGCGTACATTTCTCAAAGTCAACAAAATTGGTCAATACTCTGTAACACATGGGTTTTCTCAAAATACATCAAAACATCATATACAGCGGAACTCAAAACATAACTCAATGTTTTCCTCATAAGAGCATCTTTAGTGGGAGTAAACTAAATGGATAAACTAAGATACTTTTTGTGGGCCCAAAGTGATTTGTAGGATTTAAAAAATTTATAGTTGATTTGAGTAGTTTTTACTTTAATGGTGGTTGTCTATAAGAAACCAAAACTTGACCCCACATTTTATATTTTTTATTCAAGTTACCGTTAATTTAATTATTTTAATTAAAATACATATAATTTTTTAAATAAAATTTACCTTAAAAACTTAAAAATAATATTAAATATATTTTATTATAAAATTAAAAATGATACAAAATTCACTACAATAATACATAAAAAAAAATTACATTTTCATAGGAATATAATTATAATAAGGATTCGATTGGTTGAGATTCATTTGATAAATAAATAAGATTGGAAATTGAAAGAAAAAAATTTAGAAGTAAAACTGTGTGTAAAAAAAATTAAAATTTCTATAGAATTTATAGAAGGTAAAAAATGATAATATGACCGTTACTATTTTCAAATATTATATCTTTATTTTAATGTTGTTGGAATATTTGGAATATTTTATTAATATTAAATAATATTATAATAGGTTTCACATAGTTAACGTTAACTATATAGATAATGGGAACTAAATTTTAGTTCATTTGGATGCCATGTCAGCTCTCCTATAATGCAAATTCCTTATTACTAACGTAAGCTATAAAGAATTTTGGTTTAACAATCCTGCGTTAAAGTTGCTCTAAGGAAACATTAGTAAAATAACCTAATGATATACAATCAACTCAAAGAATCCAACCCGATGTTACATATCAGAGCAATACCCTCTACATTAACCATAAGGCTAACGACTCTAAAACGTCACAATACTCCTCGACGGTGTCCACAGCTAAACTTGCTCATCTGCACGTTACCCACGTGGAGGTAACATTCAAACAGGCAGGGTGAGTAAGACAATTCATAATAATCAATGTATAACAATTAATGCATAAACGGCATATTACTCATAGTTATATTCAACACATTGATATTCTTCAATTATGCCTCAAAGGCCACAATGTCATAATTATACACAAAGGCTCATAAATGCAAATGCAACATAGACTCAATGCATGTGGTACCAATCATCACAGCTCGATGGACACTAGGCCATCAACCCTCCATAGATCCCCATCAATAGGATCGAAGCACATCAAAATACTTCACATCCACACAGTGGGATTGAAGTCAAAGTAATCAAGGTCCTGAACTGAAGTCCGGATGCACATGAATGCATGATGCACACTTCACAATAATCCTCATAATAACAGCATATGGTGCATCATCAT